ACACACATCACAGGGTTTATGGCGCGAAATGCACTCGTGTGGCATTAAGCATAAAACACACACAATTCACATTAGGCACGGGCACATTATAGAATTACACATACTTTAACGAGTATGGCAGTAACACTGATAACACGGAGTTGTGCATATGTTTAAGACTGTGAAATGACAGGGAATGGTTTTATGACTATATTCATTTAAGGTCAGGAGATAGAACAATTGTCTGCAAAGGCTTAAAATATGTAAAGTATACTTTATGATTCAAATAATGTTACTTTAAGTGCTTATTTGCAATAAAAAGGCTAGGTGCTTCTGCATGAATGCTGGTCATGTCGGTGCCACTGACGTAATATATTGTTATATATTATATATGTTATAGCGTGTATATAAGGTAGACATAGAGTGGTGAGATTATGAAACATATTTGTTACATCTTATGCTACAAGATTTTGATTTCGATAATGGGGTTAGTGACCCATTTCAGCCTAACCCTATCAGTCTGTATAATACACATTATGGAAATATAACAATGTTTTTGTGTGTATGTAATTGTATATGACATAAAGTATTAAACTATTTGAGATTATGAATTACTATTTTTTTTATATATAGATAGAGAGATTACCTTCAATGTGAAATAAATATATAAAACCTAATGCTCTAAATTAACCTACAATATTTATCTTTTCTTTATAAGATCTTTTCAAATGTCAAACTACAATGTCCTCCTAATACTAAATATTTGAAAAAAATCCTGATATAACGTATTTTATATATCATAAGTAAGTTGAGAGAAATGCATTGATCTGAGAGCGGTCCATCAGTGAGCACCTGCAGTTCTCAGTTCAGTCAAAAGGGAGCACTTTCCATCCACTCAAAGCTCCTCCATGAAGCACTGGCCTCTCGCTCACTGGCTGCTCTAGACTCTGCTGCATTCCAACACAATCAGTTGGTATGACTGCGACTCAATTTCAAAGGAAAAAACATTACTAAAACAGCTCTATTTCAATATTTAGCAAATTAAACATCTACTATTTTTACTGTACAAAAAAAAGGAAAACACAGTTGGACAAATTTAATCTTGGTTAATAAAGAATAATTTATTTAAAATCTCCCTATTTTTAAATTTTGGTTTTACAGTTAAAATGACTATGTATTCTTACCATTTGGAGTCTTGGGTGGAGTCCAGCTCACATTGAAAGCATGTGGTGATATAGGAATGACCACAGGAGCTGGGATATCCTCTGGAGTGCTCTCCTCTGTCTTAGCATGACTGGGAGGACTCAGAGTACATCCACCACCTGTGCAGGCCTGAAAAGAACTGAATTATTATCATAAACTATAGATTGGGACAAAAAATGTGGATGAGAAACGCACTGCCACAGTGATATTGTATGCTGTTCCAGGGGTAAGATTTCTAAGAGTGTGTTCTTCGACAAGGTCTGTGGCGTTGTGAACTAGGACAGGTCCATCATCGGATGATACAAATATAGAATAGGACTCCAAAACTCCATTCACCTGAGACGGACGCGCCCATCTACAAAAGGGTCAAAAAAAAAAACGTCATTGCATCATCATTAAGTAAAGCTGTGCCGTCTAACTTTGTTTCTAATTCTAGACTACATGTCTTTTCAAACGTTTACAAAGACGCTGTTCTTCTTTTGAATAGAAGTTTCTTATGATGTTGAAGATGGACTGACAAACACAAATTTCAATTGGCAAAAACCACACATTTTTTGTGGTCTCTTTTCTTTTATATCTAAGAAAAGAAAAGGAAGATGGTTAGAAAATAAATTTCATCCATTATCCATCCATTTTCTTCCCTTAATCCATTTCTGGGTCGGGGGGGGGGTGGCAGTCAGAGCTGCACCCAGTAGCCCCTCACTGGTCCTCCTGCAGGTGGTGGGTCCACAGAAGCTATCTTTCAGTGGGGGCTTCAGGCAAAGTGGGGTTAAGTGTCTTGCCCAAGGACACAACAACAGCAGTCATCAGTGGGAGTCGTGAAGTAGGTCTTACGGTGGGCTTGAACCAACGAACTTCAATGCTCTACCAACTGAGCTACTGTTGCCCCTGTTGTTGACTGTTGTTGTTATCAATTTTGAGAGGTCAAAAACCCCTCTGAGGGCCAGTGCACACGCTTACATAAGCATTATTTTGTTTTTTTTACTAAGTGCACCAATTCCTGCAATAAAACAGACCCACAACCTGAGACTACCACCCTCATGCTTCATACTTTTAATCGGTATATGCTCTATGGCTTACAAGATTCTCCTTAGTCATAGAAGTGTATACTGTATGGCCAAAAAGTTACAATGTAAAAAAATCCTTATGTTAATCATCTTTAGACAGTAAGAAAAACATGTCTTTGCACAATGTATGTACACTTCCAGTTTCCATTGCTATGTTTCAAGGTATTTATGAAAGCCCTCCGCTTATGTGTGCATTTGTTACAGTGACTAATTTACTTCTTGGTTCCTCCCATTACAGTGCCCTGATTTGAATGACTGATGAGTGTATTTTAGAGCGCAATTAGCTATTATGACTAATCTATTATATTTAGAATATGATTTACATACAAGTTATTTGATTTATGCATGCTTTTGAAAAGACTGAATAACTGGGGAACTTTAGCAATCTACATAATTACTCACTGATAATCATAGTTTTTTACATTCTATAGTCATACAAGTAAAGATAGCAGTACTGGCATCCTTTTATTTTACTGGTATGTGTTAGTGATTAGAATGGGAAAATCAATTTGATCTAGAGACTGGGGTGCCACTTCCACGAGTAAAACAATAGTATTGTAGCTATACTGATTTATAATATTACCACACATGGTCATTAAAATTAAGTACTTCTCATCTCTTTAATTCATAATATCTTTAGCAATATTCTGTTACAAAATGCTACTGTAAATTTTAACTCATTAAGCACACAAATCTTTCTTCTGCCCTGAGGAACCTCTAGTCTCTTTATTGTCTAACTTATCTTCCCATTATTGCATACATTATATGCTTGTAGTGTGCCTGCGTGCATATGTGTGCCTGTGAGTGTGTGTGTGTGTTTGCATGGCATGGTGCCCTCGTGCGGTGAGTTTCACTGTAAGTGACAGCCTGGACACTAATGGCTTTCACACAAATTGACTGCAAACACACACACACCTGAGCACAGACCCCTAGCACAGAACAGGTCTGCCTTTAGACCTTTAGAGGTGAAGGATCAAATGCAGAGGAATATTCTGCATTGTAAACATAATGGCAGAAGGTTACTGATCTCTCTCTCTCTCTCTATAGTATATATATTTTTTTAAATGCTATAGAGAGAGAGGGAGAAAAAAAACATATCAGAACTTTAGACCCTGAATTTGGATAATCCAAGGATGCACTCACTCCACCAGAATGGTCCGTGAATCCAGAAGGGTGAGGGTAGGCACATTTAGAGGCCCAGGGGGCAGCTGGGACGTCACCACTGTTATCAGTGAACTGTTAGTGCAGCCCGCTGAAGTACACGCCCCCACAACCAGTGTATGAGTTGAGTACACCGCAAGCCCTACGTTTAAAAGGAACAAGCAGGAAATGTAAAACAAATTAAACACTAAAATGTACTATAAACATTATTTACATAATACAGAACTTACATAACCACTACCAAACTTTATTTTTTTTAACATAATATTTTCCTTTTAGTCTCAAAGCCATTTGTCATAGCAATATAATCTCTCACATGATCTATTCAAGCACAAAGCCTACTGTATAATTAGTGTGTCCATAATCCTCCAAATCACTGTGAACATCAGACACTCTGCATTATTAACTCAGCATGGATGATATGTGCTCTGGTGCCTTCATTAGCTCACTCAGACATATACAGACACTGATGGTCACTTCGATGTTTTGCTTTCGCATGTGTGCAACAAGTCCAGATCAGTAATAATCACTTGCTTCCCTATGGTTTTCGATAGCTCTATGAGATATGTGCCTCCTGGGAGCCTGCATGTGTCCCATTCAGAATGTGTGTGCTTGTGTGTGCTTGTGTGTGCTTGTGTGTCAGGACTGTATGAGCTTGGTATCCTCGAGCCACCCTCTGGTCTCAGCGGTATGACATGTGTTTCATACCGTCTTTAAGTCAAAGTGGGATATGTGTATGCATGTATGCTAATGCTGGCAGCGCTTTGTTTCTCAGACGCTTTATTTTCATGTCTGTTTAGGGCTCTTTTTCACAGTGATATTCCCTGGGTGAGCGTTGCGATGCTCTTTCCTCTTTCAAATGCTAATCCTCCACTTCATTTTTTCCTGTCTTCACTCTACCCCCTCTCTATGCACACAGACCCTGTCAACGCTTCACTGAGGCACAGCGCTGCTTACCAGCAATGTTGTACTCTTTGTCCGAACCATTATAGACCAGTTGGCTATTGAGATAGAGGAGGTATTCTGTGACAGCTCCATTGGGCCTAAAAGTGAAAGACATGAGGTTAATATTGTGGTTATTCCATTGATACCCCATACTAGACAATGTCAGTGGCAGTACTATTTTACCAATTCATAAACAATAGAACTGTGCATACTAGCGCCTTCTTAAGTGGGGTCTTGGGCCCACTTTGCAATTTAATAATCACTTTTAGTATTTTTCCATTGACTCCACACATGGTGATGACAGAATCAAGACGCTGAACACACTAGTGCATCGAAGCCCCTGACCATTTCAATCCATTCACTCTCTGATTACATTCATTCCTATCGTACATGTTTCTTTAGTGTTAGGGGAAACCGGAACACCCAGAGGAAACCTGCATTGAAGCTTGAGGAACATGGAAACTCCACACAGAAAGGTCTGCAGGTGGAATCAAACCTAAGACCTTCTTGTTGTGCACAGTGTGCCACTGTAACGGTTGTACAGTAATAATTAGGGGGCAAGTTATCTTTCGTTTGGTAAGGGGAGCTGCGGACTTTGGAAACCACTGGTCTATACTAAAGCTACTGATGAACCAACACCGACACTAATAGACCATATGTCAACATTGGATCACTGAACGATGCAGAAAGTATTCATACTTAGCTGGAGGTTTCCAGAAAACATGAAGAGATGTGGGTGAAGAGACAGTAAATGGGGGGAAAACAGCACCTGGAGCTAAAATTAAAAAAAATAATTAAAAAACATATATTATGTATCTTCTGAATTGTGTGTTTTCACTGTGATTTTGTACCTTCTTCTGGAGTAGTGAGAAGAGACATCAAACCACCATCATTGTATGTTTGTGCACTCTCTGTGCAGCCAAAGTGGGTACAGGTGCTGACAGTGACACTGTACCGAGTAGCTGGAGTGAGACCATATAACACCCCTGCAAAAGGCACAAAAGTTAAGCCATACTGAATTACTAGAATAGGATAACAGATCAACATCCATATAGGTTTTTATAGACATATATTTTGTGGGTAGGGGGTGCACCTTTTTTTTGTCTTCAGAGGCAGAGGGGGACGTAACGAAAATAACTGAGAAACCCAAAATAATGGAATGACTTCTACACTTTTAATGAAGTACTTTACTCTATTGCTATTGCCACCCCTGACCACGACATTGTGATGGACATAGGAATGTGGTCAATACATAGTAATCTCCCACAACTACAAACGAGAAAACCTTTGCAATTCAATATTGTGCTTACATGTGCTGTATTGCTTTGCACAAATATAAGAGCATACAACAATACATTTTGGCTCCCAACCACTGATGTTTGTGAATGCGTTGAAGTGCGCTGAAGTCTTTCCATACAATAAAGTGTCATATGGGGGTCTCACACCATGCCACTGGTTTGGTCTGGACTTTACCAACAAAAGACTGCAAAAACACAGAAGCTGGTGTGAGTCAAAGACCGGAGCAAGAAAATGGCAGTACCGAGTCCAAAGTCCATGGTGTGCAGAGAGAGCCAGTGGTAATCATGGATCTATTTTAATATCTAGATAGGGTATTACTACCTTATAACTGTCCCACCAATGGGCACAGGGGGCGCCCGCGGTACTGCAAACTAAATTATTGTGGGCTACCCAGGAAAATGTCACATAGAACTCAATGTAAAGTAATAAAACTGGACCTCAGCTGACAGAAAACCTAAAGCTTTCTCAAAGGTTGGATTTTGTGGGGATTTTAGTGTCTGTTGTTGTCCTGAACTTTTGTTCGAGTTAAATCCTTCGGTTTTCTATAAATCCACACTTTAGTGCAACACACTCTGCTAGTTTGGCCCCTGCTCTACCACCGCTCTGATCCGCAGCTCGGATTGGTAAAAACGCGGCCTCTGTGCTCGTGCATGAGAGCCATTCACGGGAATTTGGCGCAGCGCATCATGTATGTCTCATGCGCTACTGAGCACAAGCCATTGATTTGAATAGGGCGCCATCTTGGATCACCGGGGCTTGGTGGTTATACATTAATGGAAAATTCCTCTCTCCTGTCAATCTGGAGGGCTGGTGATCAGACAAGTAAAGCCAAAAAAAAGCTTTCTTCAGGCTAAACCCAATTCAGTTTGTTATGCATTCAAAATTAATTATGACAAGCAAAACTGCAGAAATCAATTACAAATTTAAGCAGTCTTGTTTAGCTCCTAGCAGGTTAGCCCGTTATTGAGCTGCAAAAATCCACTTTTCCCACCAATCTGGAGAGAAGTAAATTAGACAAAAACAGACCTTCTTCATCCCTAAATGTGTTCATTATGCTGGGCAACAATTGTCCACAATCTCTGAAATCATGAGATTGTGAGAGATAGCTCATTTCCAAAAACGGACAGGTCCTTTTGTCCAATCACAGTGAAGCACAAATAACCTAACCTTTGAGTAGTGCGAGTTTGTGTGCTTGGTTGGAGAAAATGTGGGCACCTTTTTGGATTCTGAGTGTGTATTTTTGGTAAAGATGTGTGCACGCTTTTATTTTCCGTGTTCCTGCATTCAGCTGTGGTGTGCCTGTTTTGCCTTTGATGGCCACCATATTCTAACCTGACTCTCGCTCATAGACTGCAAATATTAATGGATATAGTCACGCCTATCTCCACTGTCCCAACTCATGCGCCACCACATTTGGCTTCTATGGGGTTTTACAAAATGGCCCGCGGGGGCAGGAAAATATGAAAAAACGCATATGTGCATGCGTTAGCCGGCACTAGCCCCATTCATTTGACGAGTGCCTTCTGAAGTCCACAGAGGCTAAACTAGACTGTACCAAAACATATACTCCCCTCACCCCGGGACAACAAAAACAACAGCAACAACTTATTCTTGTATAGCCCTAAATCACAACACAAAACCATTGAAATCACCAACACAGATTAGAGAATCAACAGTTAAGACACAAAATATACACATGAGTTGGTCCATAAGAGACAACCATGAATGTTGATAAATGTCCATACATGTCGTAGAATGTTTAAGTTTCCTGGATCATCACCACAGTTTTTCTAGTTGGACACTAACTGCCCAACAGACCCTCCTACATCGGCAAGGAAAAACTCTCAGTGGGGGTCCCGCCCCCACTGCTCTCGCCATATCCTTGTAGTTCCACCTTGATCCACCAGAAGTGTTTTGCTGTGCTCCACACAAGGATCTGGGATTGAGGGCAATGCGAACGCCTTCAAGATAACTAAAAAGTAATGACCCAATCAGGTCCTTGAAAAGAATTCTCCAGACTGGACTGACGGCTTCCCAATGGTAGCCCCCTCACTCATTGCCTCACCACCAATCACTTGTTGGTGTCCACAGTGTGCATAGAACACTGGAGCTCTGAAACAAAAATGTGAATGACCTTAACTTAACCCTTTGAATTTTTTGTGTGGATTTAATATTGTTTTTTTCCAGTCTCTGTTGTCTTGGACATGTGCAAGCTGATAAAAAAATAAATAAATTAAGATTGGTAGAAAATATATATAAATATATGTTTGTGACATGGTTCAAAAGTAAGAAAAACAAACATTTGTCCCTCCATGATTCTTTTTTGTATCTAGAGGTTTAAGAAACCAATGTTATAAATACAAGTGAGATATCATAAACAGACAATAAAAGTTTGAGTTTGGATTGTCCCGCTGTTGCTAAGCAAGCTTTCCTGGTTTGGCAAAGAGCAGAGAGTCTCCCCTCATTGTAAAGCCCCACTCGTCCCTCTGCTGTTTTTTTTTGTTCTCACTGTTCTCCCATATTTCCTCAGTCATGCTTTTACGTCCCATCATTTCCGCACTTTCCAGCTGTCTGTGTGTGTCTTTCTTTTTCCGTCCTCTCTTTCTTCCTGTTCCTCTCCCCCTGTATTACCCATGTCTTTTAATTCAATTAGGGGCCAGGGCCCCACTCCACTGCCATTACACCCTCAGGTGTCGAGGCCATCATAAATTAAGAGGCCTTATCGTGGTGGACTTAATGTCTGCCAAAGAGAGAGGATGGGAATGGACAGAGCAGGGAGGGAGAGAGAGAGAGAGAGACAGTTGAAGACAGAAACAGAGACCTCATCTTCATATTTGCCTGGAGACATAGGCGAGTGGATGAGAGGAGGGACGAATAGAAGCGGCGGATGCAGACATTATCGCCATCATCATAAAAGACAAAGTGTGGAAAGATCGAAAAGTGAGCAACAACAAGAGAGAGAGAAGGATCATGGCCAAGGTATGACATCACTGGAGTACTCTGGAGACTTGTGTAGCTGGGGACTTGCCAAGCAGACATTAGGAGGGATGCAAATGCAGTATGTGTGTGCGTGTTCTGTTGTAACACGTAAATAAAGTAAACACATTTCAGGTGTTTACAAATGTGTTTCTAAAACTAAAAATGGTTGATGTCTGTTTTATGTGGAGGTGATTGTTTCAGTGCAAAACCACCAGTAGATATTAAGTCTTAACTCTCAAAGAGTAGAACTAAAAAGAAATATGCCGCACAATAACATTTACACCAAAGATGTTTCACACATACATAATTAAGTAAAAAAGGGTTGTGATGTACCTGTGACATTTCCATTAGCAAGGTAAGTGGTAGAGATCGGTGCTTCTTCAGGATTGTCTAGATTGTAAGCCTTCAACTCATAATAGTCAATCATTCCCATCGGTTCCGTGGGTGGCATCCAAACCACATTGGCACTGAACCCATTCAGACTTTGAACTTCATTGGGAGGGGGTACAACCTGAGGGACTAAAAAAAGTTGATTTATAGAAAACATACATAAAATGTCTTTCAAATTAAACAATTATACACTAATAATGATAATACAATGATTTACATTCATAATAAACATTGGTAAAACGTGAACGGTCATATTATTTACAAAGAAGTTCCATACCACCCACGTCATTTAATAGACTCAGTAAATCAACCCATACCATTAGCATAAATACTATTTATGAGAGCAGTAACTTTTTCAGCACTGATTTAATACACCTGGCTATTCATCCTGGGCTATATTTCACAGCAAGCAGCCTCCCTATTCCTCAATACTGCTTCTTTCACTGACACACTCTGTAGTTCGGGAACGTCTACCCTCTTTTCTCCATCCTTCACTCTTATTGTTCTATATCACTTCCTCATAGCCACTTTCATTTTCAACATTAATCATGTCTTCATTTTTCATCTCATTCTAGACATGGGCAATACTTTCTTGAAAGGTTTTCAAAATAAGGTAATATAGAGGTGCTAAAGATATGTTAAAAACACTTTTTAAAAGAACAAAATCTTCAAACTTTTATCCTTGTTTATGAATACAATTTTATTTTCAGCACATTGTTCTTGATCATTTGACATCTTTCTCCTCCCTCTTTTATTCCATAGCATATATGGTATGTGGGGACCTAACAGTGTATCGTTCACTACTAACGAGCTGTTTTATATTACACAAGGGACCACACAGGCCATTCTGGGTTAACAGCCTTTTACTGGTATGCCCTTTATAGAGGCTTTATCAATCTCTCATACTGTCAGGCACATGTAACATTACTGCCACTGAAAACTCTCACATAGTGTCCAAGATATTTATGCTTTGATTTAATCTTAAATTGAAACTCTAGTCCCATACGTACAAGTAAAACAATTGAAACAAAAACAGCTAATTTTTAGGATGGTTAGCATTAATAACAACTAGGAGTGTGACAATATATCAATATTTGAATATATCGCGATACTTTCTCCCGCGATCGATTATAGATATGCAATTGCCAAGAAGAAAAAAATAAAAATATTTATCTATTTTTTTTCTTCAATATTTTTTTTATCTTTTAATAGTATCAATACTTGATATATGGCTACATAACACATCTCCATTCAATTTATCATGAAATAAAGTATATTTTTTCACTTCCATTTTCTGTATGCCATATATTGGCATATGGTATATTTCTAAACAATATATCGATAATCGTCATATCGTGATATAATCGTTATTGTGATATAATCGTTATCGTAAGTTTTGTATCGCGTATCGAATCGTATCGTGAGGTACCCTGAGGTTCCCACCCCTAATAACAACACAACCAGGCATAATAAATTTACTCAAAGCAGCATCCGATTTGTTTTCTTTTCCTGACTTTTCTTTAGATTCCAAGTGTTGAAGCGCAGTCAAGTAATTGGACACATTTGTATTGAACAATGCAGTTACCTCTTCCTTGACTGCGGCCTCGTTGCCATGGCCCCACTGACCAACCGCCAGTACCCAACGCCACATACCTGTAAAAGTACTCTTAAAAAACCACGGGAGACAAAATTAAAATACCGTTTATGAATTCTGAAATGTTGGAATGAATAAACTTCTTGAATAAAATGTTACCAGTGAAAGGCTGTAGGGTATTATCAATAGCTTCTGTCTTGTTGCCGGTGTAGATCAACACTGAATCATTTCCTCTGCAGTTGTAGCGACTTTCACTGCTGGGACATCCTCCTAAGAACACTCGGACAGAACCCAAGGAGGCAACAAACAGGTTTAGAGACGGACTGCTATTAGAGTTTCTTCCATCACTTATGGAAACACTTCTTATGCAGCCACCAAGACCTGTAAGGAACAGTAGCATCATATTATTTGTTACCTCAAATTTAAAACAAATCTCTGTTTAAAGTACCGTGTTTGTGACTTTGACTGTTCAAAGCGTAGTGATTGAGCTCAGAAGGAACACCCCCTAAATAAAGTGGCGAATCGACTCGAAGATGGATAGTTTGTACTTCTCCTCTTGTCATGTCTTCCCAGTCATCAACAATAGCAGAGAGAAGTGAGCCCTCTTTTGTCACCGAAAACTCTTTCCATTCTCCGTCACAGTAGCCAAGCCCCGCCCACATGACTAGTGTCATCACGTCGCCATCACAAGACACAATGATGGTCAGGAAACCACCACTCAATTGCACCTAAGCAAATCAAACCTCCAGAAAATTTGTAATACAAGTATTTGTTTGAACACTTCAATTATTATGAATGTCATACCAGCATGTAATCATCTCTTTGTGTGTTGTAAGTAAAGAGCAGCAGTGCCTCCAATTGGTCAGTCCTGAATTCCAAAGAAATCTTAAAGTTCTCTCCTCCTTCGAAGACCTTGCCACTTAATTCCAAGTAACCTAAATGGTGTGATACCGATCCAAATAAAAAAGAAAACACATTAGATTATTTAAAAAAATAAAGATGTTCAAATATTCAACCAACCATGTCCCAGAAAATGAGCTCCATCCACAAGTTGAGCAGGGCAGCCCTCCCAGCTTTCGTACGCTGAAACCTTTCTTATGGCAGATGTCCAGTTCAGAGGCTTCCACTGTTCAAAGGGACTGTCCATCATCAGAAAATGTACATCTCTCAGGCAACCAGTGAAGCCTTGTTGAACCACCTCAGAATCTGATGAAAAATACAGAATTGAGTAACCAATTATATTTCTACTGTATTCATGTTGTGACCACTATGTAATATCTACTACCTTACATTTCAAATTGTATGTATTAAAGTATAAAAAATACAATTATACAGTAGTAATAATAGCTTGATAGTGATCTCCAAATACATTCATCTGGGTGCTACACAAAGTCGAGGGGGTAAGGCTGGGCTGCATTAAGGGGTCTAAACACCAAATCAACTTTTTAAACTTTTAAACTGCATACATATGTTTCTTAAAGTGCTCTCTACATGTCCTGGTAGATTTGTTGACAATTTAGTGAAAGTTAGATAAAATCTCACTTTTGAGCCGTCTCTGTGGCGCCATCTCTACATTTTTGGTGCCACTACATTTGAATTTTGTGCCTGGCCTCTCTATTGGTTCTGGAGTGCTGTGTGACATCGCTTTGTGCTGTGTGACGTCTGTCGCTCTGCCCCTCCATCCATCCATCCATCCATCCATTTTCTTCCGCTTTATCTGTTGCCGGGTCGCGGGGGCAGCAGTCTAAGCAGAGACGCCCAGACTTCCCTATCCACACACACTTCCTCCAGCTCGTCCGGGGGGACCCCAAGGCGTTCCCAGGCCAGCTGAGAGACGTAGTCCCTCCAGCGTGTCCTGGGTCTTCCCCGGGACCTCCTCCCGGTGGGACGTGCCCGGAACACCTCCCCAGGAAGGCGTCCAGGAGGCATGCCCGAGCCACCTCAACTGGTTCCTCTCGACGTGGAGAAGCAGCGGCTCTACTCCGAGCTCCTCCCGTGTGACCGAGCTCCTCACCCTATCTCTAAGGGAGCGCCCAGCCACTCTGCGGAGGAAGCTCATTTCGACCGCTTGTATCCGCGATCTCGTTCTTTCGGTCATTACCCACAGCTCATGACCATAGGTGAGGGAGGGAACGAAGATTGACCGGTAAATCGAGAGCTTCGCCTTTTCGCTCAGCTCCCTCTTTACCACAACGGTCCGATACAGCGACCGCATCACTGCGCACGCTGCACCGATCCGCCTGTCAATCTCACGCTCCATCCTTCCCTCACTCGTGAACAAGACCCCGAGATACTTGAACTCCTCCACTTGAGGAAAGACCTCTCCACCCACCTGGAGAGGGCAAGGCACCTTTTTCCGGTCGAGCACCATGGCCTCGGATTTGGAGGTGCTGATTCTCATCCCAGCCGCTTCACACTCGGCTGCAAAACGTCCCAGTGCATGCTGCAGGTCCTGGTTCGTTGGAGCCAGCAGGACGATATCATCCGCAAAAAGTAGAGATTAAATCCTGTGGTCCCCGAACCGGACCCCCTCCGGCCCCTGGCTGCGCCTAGAAATTCTGTCCATAAATACAGTGAACAGAACCGGTGACAAAGGGCAGCCTTGGCGGAGGCCAACATGCACCGGGAACAGGTCTGACTTACTGCGAACACAGCTCTGAGTTGGATCCGCCCTGCCAGCGGATCCAACTCACGACCAGGTGATGATCGGTTGACAGCTCCGCCCCTCTCTTCACCCGAGTGTCCGAGACACGCGGTCGAAGGTCAGATGATACGACAACAAAGTCGATCATCGACCTCCGGCCTAGGGTGTCCTGGTGCCACGTGCACTGGTGGACACCCTTGTGCTCGAACATGGTGTTCGTGATGGACAGGCCGTGACTGGCACAGAAGTCCAACAACTGAACACCGCTCGGGTTCAGATCAGGGGTGCCGTTCTTCCCGATCACCCCTCTCCAAGTGTCACTGACATTTCCCACATGGGCGTTGAAGTCCCCCAGGAGAATAACGGAGTCCCCGGGCGGTGCACTGTCCAGTACCCCTCCCAAGGACTCCAAGAAGGCCGGGTACTCTGCACTGCCGTTAGGCCCGTAGGCCGTCACAACAGTGAGAGACTTGTCTCCCACCCGGAGGTGGAGGGACGCGACCCTCTCATTCACCGGGGAGAACTCCAACACGTGGCGGCTGAGATGGGGGGCAATGAGCATGGCCACCCCAGCTCGCCGCCTCTCCCCGCGGGAAACACCAGAAAAGTGGAGCGTCCAACCCCTCTCAAGGAGTTGGGTTCCAGAGCCCAAGCTGTGTGTGGAGGTGAGGCTGACTATCTCTAGTCGGTATCGCTCAACCTCCCCCACAAGCTCGGGCTCCTTCCCCCCCAGTGAGGTGACGTTCCACGTCCCAAGAGCCAGATGTTGGGTGTGTGGACTGGGTCGTTGAGGCCTCCGCCTTCGACTGCTGCCCAGTCCTCGCTGCACCTCGCCACCACGGACCCCTCTGCAGGTGGTGGGCCCACAGGAGGGACTGCCCACGTCATCCCCTCGCTTGCGAGCCCCGACCCCAGGCCTGGCTCCAGGGTGGGGCCCCGGCTGCGCCATGCCGGGCGACGTCACCGTTCTAGTATTAGTGCTGTCCATGGTTGGCTATGGTAGAATGGCTCTGCGCCTGTGGTATAAAAGTAGCCAAGTCTCACACATGCCCCGTAGCGAGTTGGAGTATTCTGCCGTCGTCTAACGGTTTACAATTAAATAACATCAGTTGAGATCCACTACTGCTACTGAGATAATTCTGTGGCTTAGGTTCAGCTGTTTAGCAATACAAGTAAACAAGGGTGGAATGAGAATTTCTGGTGTGTAAACTATTGCTTTAAGCAATGACAACTGTCTGATTATTTAATTGCAATTGAATTCTCAGACAGTTGCTGGGCTGTAATTGACAGCTTGCTTGTCAACAACACTCAACTCTAAGCCCCCTTTTTCTCCCCTGGCCCCCGGCCCCCAAATGTTCACGTGGGCAGAGTAAGGCTGGGCACAGGGGTGTAGCTGATCTCTACTGGTGCATTAAACATTATTTGGCTTTTCTCTGCTTTAAACATGATCACAGTGCTATTTGGCCTTCATACACATGCCCAGAGTAGTTTTTTCATTGGTTCCTTCAAGCTTTAGTTAGAGAGCGGACTTTCTCTTTCACCCTTGAGCGGCAGCAAAACGCCCTGGTCCACATCTATGACGATTTCAACATTGATGACAAATTTGAAGCGCAGAAACCCGTTTTTATTTTTTCAAATACTCCTAAAACACTATTGTCAAAACAGGGAAAACATTACACAATAAATATGCTGTTCGTTGTCAAGAATAAAGATAATACTAAAATCCAGGAGGTGATTGACAAATAGAAAAAGCGGATCAGCGCACACAGCCAGCTCCCCGAGACCAGCGTATATCTATGGTATCGTCCAGCGTCCACCACATGGAGATATTCTGTTTTTCTGCTTTTGTCAGTGACTAAAAGTGTTAGGATCTTGTCACATTGGAGAAAGAGTGTTTTTGGGTATAAATTTGTGATGCACTATTTGGCCTGAAAAGGAAGAATGCGGCTCGACTATTTTTCATAGAGATCTGCCTCTGAAAGTATGATTCTGGATCGAGGACATAGGGCAGATGTGTCGTATTGCCATTGTTGGAAAAAGTTTATTCTCAGGTCTGAAAAAACTAGAGCAGACTCCTCTCTGGATCAGCTCGTTTGAGTTGAGGTGGCATCACCTCTATGCAAGAGATGACTATAATCTCTCAAATTTTGTGTGCTGTATGATGTATCACTCAAATTATTGTCACACATATGCATAGGATGGACTGTGAAACAAGAAAAAGGAACCTTTAAGTGTGTGGAAAATATATGAACGTTTCAACAAACAGAAATATGAAGTATAATTAAACCACTAAAATTGTACACGCAATTTTACTTTGCACATGCAGTTTAGCTCCTAAAGTGATGAATTTACTCCTATGTAACATTTCCCACCTTCTCATAAATACAACAACAAAGTCAACATTTACAGGAAAGGGCAAAGTTTGTTTATCGCTCATCATTTGCATCTGCAAGTTTTTATAATGATGATGGGATTCATACCAAATAATTTCTTTTATTAAATGAGTATGGGAATTTTTATTTTTTATATTTTTATGAACAAAATGGGTAAAGCTTCTTGAATTCAAACAAAGCTGGACCAAAGGCAATGAGGGCTTAGTATGGTAGACTGCTGGGTTTAATCATGTATACATGAAAAAGCAAAGGAAGGTTTCTCGCCCATCATCTGTACTTCTTAGCAAGTTTTCCCGACGTTTCGTCCTCAAACTAGCGGACTTCTTCAGGGAATGAATTCTCGGACCGCACGTTGGAGATGTATACATGAATTATGAAATATTGCGTTTAGGGTTACATTTTTTTTGGTAATATAAATGGTGTGGTTGTTTTCTTGATAAAATATTCGCTTTAAAATCATGTAAAACATGCCATATTAGCCCAGATTTTCAGTGGGGGCTGCAAATCTGAGCTTTGATGTCGCCTAGTGTACAACCTTTTTGTGAGCTGCAAATGGCCCCTGGTTTACGGGATTTTAACACTTTATTTTTTTTTTTTATTGTACTCCTTCATGTTTACCTAAATCCTTGCGTTGCAATATGAAGTCCCGAGGCAGGCCTCCTATGAATAGTCCTGAAATTTCCCCAATGATGGTGTTGCCATTGTTTGCTGATGCAGCACCTGAAATGACACAAAGATACAGTTGATTAAAAAGTACCATAAAGATGTTTTCACAATTTAAAATAGCAATACTATACTGAAATAGTTAACCTGATCTATGTTAGCATACACTTTCCTGGACGGCTTCCCATAAACCTTTATTGATTATTGAGAAGGATAAATAACCTGTGTATTGGTCGTCTAAAGTGACTCTTCCTATGGATCCTTTTCTTCTAACAGTGACAGTGTGCCATTGGTCATCATCAAGTAACCCTCCACTTTGGACTGACACGGTTACTGGGGAACCCTAAAACAGAAATATATTGTTATTGCATCATATTTAAATCAAATAGAAACAATTTAGTATTTTGTAGAATAGAACTGTAGAGATGTATCATGGTTCCTAATAAAAACCTTTACCAACACACATTAATTTTAAATAGAATTTTTAATAGTATTCAGCATGTTTATAACAGTTTAAACAATTTGTTTATACTTGACCATTGATTTCAAATATACCGAAATATAACAAACATTTCAGAGCAGTTTTGAGTCGAAAGTCATGTTAGTATTGATAAAACACTAACACAAAAAATTCTCTTCAATACAACTGAAATCCCAGCCTATCTTATATTATGTATAGAATGTATGTGTGGCAGCCCACACGTGCATGTATTTATGTGCATAACTTTCTTATGTCATGCTAAATTACCCCTCTACTCTGGTAATCCCATTAGGCTAGCTCAACAGGCTAATAGAGGGAAGTAATGGGCCCAGCTATATATGTATCTGGGGGGACACTAATAAGCCGTGACACCACTCCCACTGTTAATTAACCAAACCAGCCTAAACAAAGAGATACACCCTATTTGAAAAACACGTACTGATATTCCACAAACTAAAAAAAATGAAAATCAAGATTTACTTTTGAATTTAAAGATGCTTTCAAATGAAATGAACAGTAGGGTTGAATCAAATGATTGCAGCAACAATGTATGTGTGTAATTAGTTGGTGGCCTGATGGAAATCTGCGTAATCGTCCCCTCATCACTTTCATCATGGAAGTCGTTGACTCCTTAACCCTTCTACAAGTGTCTATATGAATGGATATGAGAAGCAGGCAGTGTAGGCACGTGTGTGTACATGTGCAAGAGTGCAACGCTTAATTAGCTTGCAATTGGTATTCACGCGTGGTGACTGCAGGGAATGAGTTAATTGCTGTCCAATTCAAACGTTGACACACTTTCAAAGTTTTCCCCTCTCAGTGTCGTTGAGGAACCAAAGGGCGTCTACAGTCACCATTTTATTAACTAAAATAATGGAAGAAAAGCCCCAAAACTGGCCATATGAAAACCCTTCAGAATACATGTTTTGAATATTTGACAATAATCAGCTATACAGACTTACTTGTGGATCAAAACTAAAGTAGAGTTGTCCATTTTTTATCTGTATAGCAATGAACTCTTCTTGAAGTCCTGGTGAGAAGGCAGCGATCAACAGACCATTGGGTGACTTTGTCTTGAAACTCAACCGAATACCTGAGGGCCATCATCAAAAGGAAAAATGTAACATACAATGTTAAAAAAAGTTACAATGTTAGCAAGCGAAAAGAAGAACATGTGTAATGGCACCTAACATGTTTGTCATTTACAACATGATTCAGTTTGGATATGCTGCACATAGTAGCTTATTTAACCCATGTGTGAAGCTTTTGTAATGTCTACTGCTCTCTTTTATCCTCTTGAAGACTTTGAAGTCATCCATATTATAAAAGAGAATGGATAAATGCATCTCCATCAGGTTCACCAGTTCCCTCTTGCACTAAGGCTCTAATCTGACTTGACTTCTTTAAATAAAAACTACAACCAAGGGAACAGATGAACTTTCTCAAGCTTTATGCAACAGTGCATACATGCAAAACACTGACACTATTTTGTTACTTGTTGCTTGTTACAATTATACATCCTGTATTAGGATTGTACTTCAAAATATACACATGAATTATGTTAATGGCATCAATCAAACAGGATGTTACAGTTGGTAGTTGCAGTGTTTCATGGCAGAACTAAGAAAGAATCTGTATTGCTTCCCTGTCATGTTGAGATTGGATCTTAATCCACTACTAGATCTTATAGTGACCCGGTGGAAGTGTTCATGTGTGTTTGCTCAGATTGATGCTCTGCAGGGAACAAGAAGTGTGGGAAGATCTGAGGGGTCCAATGGAGGCAGTGGAGGGTTCAAGATTCAGGACTAAATACTCCATTACATCAAATCAGATAAAAAAAAAAAATAAAAAATAACTTTTTAATCAAAATTAAAACAATCATAAAAGGTGCTGAAATAAACTGAATTGTGCAATTTGGGGAAATCAGGTTCTTAATAATACAGACATACCAGAATATAAAAATATTATAAATGAACATGTATACATTTTTTACATCTTCTGATGTAGTTCTAAATAATTAAATCAGAAAAGCACAGCAAGCCGCGTATCCTGACGTTTTTATGTGTCCTGTAGAATGTTTAAGGCCTCCATATGTCGCTTTTTATACTAGCAGGTGTCCATGATGCAGTTATTGCTTGATACCTTCAGCACTGTTATATTCTTTAAAATAGTGCTACTTGAGTTGAATGGGAATATGGGACATGATTTTTACATTGAGTTTGCATTCTCTGCATCCTGCAGTCACATGTCTTTTACATTCATGACCTTGTCACTTCAGAGATAAGTGATGTCATGACAGATCCTAAGACTTACATTATACACCTCTGACCTTCTCCTTCTGTCACCATCACCTCTGATCTTCCTTTTTCCTATTCCCTCAGCTTTTAACCTCCTTTATCTGACCTTTTCATTCACCCTTTCACACCAAGCCCAGGTGCAATGTTTGCTTTAGGCATAAACCAACCATGAGCATTTAAATACATGTATTAAAGCATTACTTTATCATCTCAAGATATTACATTATTTATAGTTGCTTTTCATATTTAATGTTTACATTGACAGAATGCATTTAGCAAACAGATGGCAAGTGGTATAATCAAACAGCCAACAAATGTTTGTGTTACATATATCATAGTTTAGGAAGGTTTCACTTGTCGTCTTAGTAGAATAAGGTTATTATGTTTATCTTCTTCTGGTAAATAGTGTCTGGTATAGATAAAACCAAATAAACAAAAACATTTGTCTATTGTGTCTCTAGCTCTGATAATTGCGGAGAATATTGATATACTGTAAAAGGCACAAGGGACTGTATGGAAAAAACATGCAGTGAAATACAAAAAACACTACATACAAAGAAAATGTATGTATAGACATTTTCATGAAGTTTTACTGGAGAAGAATCCTGATTTCAACATAAAACAGTTCGAAACGGTGCTAGGTAAGAATGAGTCGAGCTTAAGAACGCTAAGACCCACGCCTCCCATACAGTAGAGCAGCATCAGCGTCTAAAATGTTGTAATGAAGTGCCATGCAATATAACAAAAATAAAAATGCTAAATTCCAATGGTATCAAAAATAGTATCAGGTTTTAAAAAGTGTTTTATTATGTTTACCATTTAGTGTCCTACTTAACCTTTTCAATAAATACAGATGTTGTTTGTGATAGTTTACTATCTATTTTCATTGAATCATGCAGGTGACATGCCCTCCCCAGAAAGTAATATGGTGTTGCTTTAGCTGAACAAGGCTTAAGTGACAGCGCCGCTGTCCAGCAGTACTTTCTGCTGATTCCCCCCAGGACTTGTGCTACTTCATATTGACATCCTCTTAAGAACCATCCCAGACAAACTTGAACACACATCTTGACAGGTGCCTCTGTCTCACATACAAGGTACATGCAAGTTTCTTGAGTCACACATATTATTTTATAACTGTCTTGACTCTTGTTACAAAATTGTATATATTGTATTATAAATTAGGAAAAAACAATTTCATTATTGAATTTGCACATTTCATTGTTAAAAAAATAAAATAGCTAATACAATTCATATGCCCCAGTGATAAAGAACTGGGATCACAGAGTATTCTTTCTCGTCTCTTTGTCTCTATAAACAGTGGAGGTTGTGTGCGATCATCTACACAACATAACCTGAATAACTCCAGTCATGTTAGCTCCGCGCTGGCATTAATCAGAGCCGGGCGTATTAATGAGAGCGCGGCAGCAGCTAATTACACTCATAGATTCTGCAGCAGCCCATTAAATATACAAATGACAGAATTAAAGAGCCCAGCCTCTTCTGGTTAATCTTTAAATGGAGAAAAACTAATGATGTCTGAGCAAACTTTCCCAGCGCACACTTCTCCCCCACTCCTCTCAACAGCGACGCATGGCAATCAATCATATTAATTAAGGAAAAATAATTTGTATCATTTAACATTTCCTTCTTTCCCCCTGATTTGCTGCAATGCTGCTGCTGCAATAAAGTATATTAGACAATCTGGAAATGATCCAAGTGTATTTGTTCCTGTGTAGTGTCTTTTCTATTTTTCTCTGAGTGTAGTGTTTCATCTCTCCTCAATTTATTCATATTTGAAGTCATATATCTGGATTAGGGGGAAATACCCATTCCTTTCTTATCCCAATTAGCCAAGGTCATACATGCCATATAGACATACATAAATAGTTTAAAAATAAAAGGAATTTTATAACTGTTGTTTTACATGGAATATACAAGAATTTACTTTAAATGCAGAGTGATTGATAGACAGTATAAGAGAATGTGATTGAAAAGATTAGATACGGAAGCTCTTGTGCCCCAAGATCAATGGACTAACATGTATTTATGGAAACCACAGCCTTTAAGGTATTCATAGGAATGGTCTGATTGCTTTTGGTAAGAATAGTAAGTAACATTCAGATTGGTAAATATTGACCAGTTAGACATTAAGGTACCTCATTTATAACCCGGAGAAAACATGCACACAAATATTGGCAAAAATGTTATTAGCAAAGCAACAAAGAAAGTCAGATCCCGCCATTACACACAGTAGGCCAATAATAATGTGATCAATGGACGGAAATCAAACCAAATTGTTAATATATCTTATAGTCCACTAGCCTTTCAGTGTTAATCTAGCACAGCATTTTTGCATTGCTGCTATGTAAGTGACTTAAGTTCAGTTCATAGACCCAATGATTATTAAAACAAAGTTAGTCATTGCAGAGTTACTATGCTGCCTCAGACACAAATCATTGACAAATCTCTCCTCTGTGATCAATTGACTCTTGGGGGGGCATTACACTGCATTACATTCATAATCCAATTTGGCTTTGATTTGTTCGCTGTTCCATGCACTTCGATAGGAATAATTGTCCGCAGAAGATGCTATTAGTATTGATGGTTGCAAAAAGGCAATGGTTTGAGGACTGCCGACACATTGATGGTCTACAATAGATCCGGTCTCATAGCGATTGTCTGATCCATTACCCTTTATGAAGGGTTATAGGCAAGGAGATGAGAAGCTAAAGATTTGATGCTATAAGGCTAAATAATAACTAATAATATATATATATATATATATATATATATATATATATATATATATATATATATATTTTACACTTGCACTTGACAGTTCTTGGAATAGTTATCCATAAAGGTGGGAATTTAATTCTTCCCCTTAATCCATTTCTAGGTCCGGGGTGGCAGTCAGAGCTGCACCCAGTACACTTAGCACCAGCCCCTCACTGATCCTCCTGCAGGTGGTGAGTCCATAAGATTTGAGATCTTTCAGTGGGGGCTTCAGGCAAAGTGGGGTTAAGTGTCTTTCCCAAGGACAGTAGACATCAGTGGGAGTTGTGAAGTAGGTTTTACGGTTGGCTTGAACCCACAATCTTCAGGCCCAAAGGCCAATGCTCTACCAACTGAGCCACTGTCGCAATTATGGTATGTATTTCATACCATAATTGGAATATTTGATCAGAAATAAAAAATAATAATCTGAACCGGGACAAATTCAACCAGAGCTCACCCCTTTTGACACAAATAACCAATGTTTTAGTATATTTATTATTTATTTAGTATATAAGTATTTAGGATATTCAGAAGACCCTGAAAATATTGGACATTACTGATCATCAAAGCTGACTAGACAGACCTGGTTTCAAGCAATTAACTAATGACGTCATTGATTTTGAATCTAATTTGAAATTGATGAAAAGACACCTAAGGTTTACACAAAAAAGAAACAGTGAAATCAACACTTGCTGGACAGTGCAATAATTTCAAGTGGCATCACAGAGCCTCGCTCCTCAAATCCCACTGATTAGTATCAACAGTCATTAATTATAAGCGTCAGACTGGGTTGATGTTCTCAGATGAAGCAGAACATGTTTGGCTGTGCAGCTCAACCCTCTAATGATGCTGGTAAACAGAAAGATAATTGTCCTTTAAGATGATTGGGGAAGTCATTCTAAAGAATGTCACAAAACACCCAGCTCTAATACCCCAAAATGTGAATGGAATTAAACTAAGTGCTTAATTTTGTCATTTCAGTGTTGTATACTAAACGTTGGATGCTGTGTGAGCCCTCTTACCTGTAAAGTCAGTATTTGTGGGAAGGGTTTCATCTGGAAACTCGTAGAAACTATTCCCTGGGAACCTGGTTCCTCGTACAACAGGAGTTTGTGAGTCAGATAAAGAAACATCAATCCTCTCCACCTAGAATGCAAAGAAACATGCCCAAAATTCAATTCTACTTGCATTCTCTGCAGCCCTATATGATATATAATGGAAACCAGAAGTTTACCTTTGTAGAAAGACAGTATAAATACACATTAGTTATTCAGTTCTTAGTTACAGTTTCTAGTTATTTTTACCAAAATCATTTCTATTGGCACAATAATCTAATATTCAGAGAGGCGCCACAAGGAAACAGAATTTGTGAAAAAGCAAATAATCGAGGATCTTCTGTAATCAAATATTTCAATCATAGATAATTTTTTTGCCCCTAATGCCTTTACCATATTATGTCATATCAGAGCAAAACATTTTTATTTTTTTCGTGAAAGACATGAATTGAAAGTCTTTTGCAGACTCTTAACACATTTTCTTTTAAGATTATTCCATATTTTGCTGAATTCACCTTCCCATCATCTCTGACATTCCTCCCTGCCCTTGCTGTAGAAAAGCAGCCCCACAGCATGAGGCTGTCACCACCAGGTTTGACAGTGGGGATGGTGTGAGTAAAAGATCCGCGCAGCAGTCGTTGTAGCTGCGGTGCTACTTTTTCTTAAATGATGGACACCACATGTAACGTTTCGGGTTGAGCCATTCTTCAGACAAGTAGTGATGACCAGTGTTAGTTTTCCTACACACATTGAGTTTCGCATTTACAAAGTATCTTCTTGAATGTATCCCCAGTTTGGCTGCTGGTGGCTTTATTACTTTAAAATACCCATGACAAGCCTTTGACCATCTGGCATCTCTGTATACTTCCGGTTTGCTTGTGCCTTATAAACCTATGCGCAACATCAAATCCTTGGACTGCGACTTTCTTGGTATTATTAAAAATAAATTAGATTTCAAATGAGTGCATAGACTTAATGTTTCCATTTTTGGTGCAATTTCTCACCTTCAAAACTGGCTTTCTATTTGACACTCATCCACAAAGGCCAGATCTGCGTAGAGCTAGACCAATAGAGGCCCCATTCACCTGCAGATGTCCTGCAGGTGAGCTATGGATGTCCGCTGCTCCTTCGTAGCATCTCTCACTACTCTCAACAGTGTGAGATCTTCAAAGATTGATTAATCTTCTCTTCAACTTCATTCCTGAGCTCTCTGGCGTGCTCTGGTTTTCAAGCTTTCACTTCATATTAGTCTGCCACTATTTGGTCGTCTTTCACAAAACGTAGTGAAAGAACAAGTTTGCTTGTTTGAACTGTGATGGATTTTCAGGTAACAAAGAAATAGTATATTGTAAGTATCTTTTAAGTTTTGTGTTAAACTTTATTAACTGTAGTAAAGACATCCTAACACTGGAATTCAAAGGGTGCTACTCCACACAGTTGATTTGACAGTTTTAATTGTTGGAAATTCTAATCTTTTTGTTTTATACAAAAAAATATGTTTTATTTGGTAAAGGCCATGGGACACAGGAATCGATGCAAGGAGTAACCTGGTAAAGTGGCGGGGGTCCATTCAGCTGAGCCGGGGGGTCCCAAAGTATATGAATTGTGGACTCATTTACTGGATACAACTGAGGTGGAAAGAGTCCTGAAGGAGCTGAAAAATAAAAAGGGAAGAACAGCATATCAGCGTTACTTCACATAGCTTGGGTTCTAGAAGTGATTTCTTTCTAATATTTTCCTGGCATGAAGAAAAATTAAGTCCCCTTCTTTTTCCAAGTATATCGTGTGACTTAACTTAATACTCATTTCCACTTAACATGGGGTCAATTTAATGTACCATTTCACTTTAGATTTCATATCAAATGTCCCTGTGAAAACATACAGGCGCAGAGCAAAGCTTCAGCATGAACCATAAATAAATCAGGACGACAGGCTGATATGGCGAGATGGGATCCATAAGAATGGAGAAGAGAGCTTAGCGTGTGATGGACTGGTGTGGAGATGGGACAGATGTGCTTGAATTTAATGTCAATGCTTTCCTATGTTTCTGGGCGTGTGTGCGTCAGTAATGACGTATGGTAGAAGAAAATTAGATGCCGGTGACATCTGCAGAGGCAATTGTCACTGCAACTTCTAATAGAGATTTTAAAAGGAAAGTGGATAGCATTCCTGAGGTACTTCTTGGCACATCAAACCATGAATTACTGCAAATCAATATCTTACCAGTCTATTGAAACAGTGTGTAATATGTGACATTGGCAACATTACTCCAGTCTGGAGTAACTAAACTTATATCTGCCACTGCCACTTTTTATTGTACATAATATATTCTGCATTTAACATGTTTGCACATTTCTTTCTTTTGCACAATCTTGAGTGATTCTATCCATGCCAGATGTGACATGTACATTTCTCCTGTGTGAGATCAATAAAGTCTATCTTATCTTATCTTATCTGGACTTCTCTGCTTGTCTGTGTGATACTTATATTAAAGGGTAACAGCACAATTGTTTGCTGCTTGTCTCTTAATGGTAGATAGTATTGTTTTGTGGAATGGGGCAACTGGCTATATTTTTTTGTATGTATATGTTCATATTTAAATGTATGAATCGGAAAAGTGTAAATTCCTAATTGTGAAAATCTCACAGTGAATGAAAGAACTTTTAAAATACGAGGTAATGTACCATTGGAATGGACAAATGGACCTGACAATATCCTAGGAATTGAAGTTCCTCAAAACCTGCACGATCTAGAAGTAAATAACAATAAAAAACTTGGAACTGCACAAATCTAACATTATATGGCAAAATAGAATTCAATAATATTGCCAAACTTTGTTTATTTGTTTATATCTCTCCAGTCCATCTCAGAGCTTCTTTAGAATATAAGAGCAAAACACCTCTGAATTTATCTGGAATAAACCAGAACCAGAACCAGACTATCATTTAGGAGGTCTTAAATTAATACATTTAGAAGCTCTATGTTTTTCATTAAAAGCCTGAATAGTTCAAAAAATGCACAAAAACCCAAATTGGTACCCAAGTAAACAAAATAATGTAATATTCTCAAAGGAGTTATTTCTGTATTTGCAGATGGATAAAAAAAAACAACTGTTTACTTATTTAACCACATGAAATATGGTTCTTAAAAGAAGCCCTTGAATGTTGGTTACATTTTCAGTTTAACCCTCCTGAAAAGCATGATCATATGGCTCAACTCTAATGTACTCATTGATAGAAAGCCCATACTCTGGGAAAAAGTTCTTGAGAGTGGAAATATATTAATTTACAATATTGTTGAGGAAGATGGACAATTATTAGAATATGGTGCCTTGGGAAAAAAAAAATCAGCTCATAATTAATAATGGGACAAAAGTATAACAGTTTTATTTACACAACAAGGCATTGGCCATTTTTCCATATAAAATGTACAGAAAATGAGAAGATTTTTGGGCAGAAGTTTTCAGAACAATTTATCACACCTCTACAGACTCACAAACTAGATTCTTGCAAATCAAAATTCTCTATAATTGTCTCCCCACAAAGGAAATGCTCAAAATTAGGGGTCTGGAGGAGTCGGACTTATGCCGCTTCTGCCAAACAGTCAACTGATCACTTATTTTGGTACTGTCCTATGGTGGTAGCATTTTGGGTTAATTTCAGTCAATTTAACTCAAGTAAATATTAAGTTTTAACTGAGTCCCTTGTCAATATTATTAGGTTTTTTTTGTCTTGTTTTTTACATTTAGAACCGTGCAAAGTTCACATTAAAAAAAAATCTATTATGGACACTATACAATTAAATATACAATAATGTTTTACCCTCATCAGTGCAGATATAATGAAGATAACTTTTGAGTCAGCAGTCTGTGCTGTCATGTGCACAGTGAAAAGGCAGGACATAAGACAAATTAAATGAAATTGAAATTGTGATACATTGAGTTTGACAAAAACATAAGCCTTATAATATAGGCACACTTAAACACACGTTAACAGCAGGGCAGAAAGGTTAATTTTAGCTTCTGTCATGGTAATGAAGCAGCTGAATCATGGGGCAGCTCCCAGGAGAAATTGTTTGTGTGTTTTTTGTGTTTTTACCAGGACTGATGTGTCTTAACAGGCTTTTAGCGTACAGTTACACACGCACACAAGTACATCGCTTATTGACAAAGCAATCCCTTGCCATGCATATTTCTCTCCTCAAGAAGGGCTTGAGGCCAATTATGCAGAAATCAATAAAGTTCCCGTTCTGTTAAGTGGTGTTGCAGTGTATGTGAGCGTGTTTGTGCATGTGTGTCTTGTAGAACAAGCCTTTATGGACGTAGGATACATAAAACATCACCAACAGTCCCTGATTAGTCACTCACTAAAGTGAGTGATCAATAACTTTTCACAAAGATCCACAGTGAAACTATTGGAAGACATCTGGACAGAAAATTCCTTCATTGTGTTGGAACATCTGTCAGTGTGCTAATGTTTGTTCATGTGACTAGATGTTATTTTATATCTCTAGCAGATTTTGTCTGCTAAATTACAGCAGATGGAGGCTGGTTTAATGACCCAGCCTTATATGTGTAGATTCATCAGCATCTCGTATTTTGCAGTGCATTTTGCGGTGACAAAGTAATTTTCTCTTAAAAATGTACTAAATAGTTCTAAATGCATGTTCACAATATTCATGTAACTAATTTATCTGGAGACAGTTGCACAGTTTTTGTCTGTTTCTGTTTGTTTCAAGGATAAGAAGCTAAGGATGAACACATTTCCACTCAGTCAAAAAGGAAATGTGCCACTTAAATCGTTTTGAAATGTAAATATATATATAATAAAATATGCCAGACAACATATGCTATTATCATTCCTTGCAGTTGAAACAAGGGACAAATTTGGCATTGGATTAGAAGAAAAAAAAGATGGCAACAGATGTGGCTGTTAAAAATACATCGCCAAAGTCAGCTGGGTACAATAAGCCATATTGTATTGTACTGTATTACAGTCAAGAGAAGACTTTAGAATGCCATGAAACAACACAGTGTAAACAGATGTAGCCATTAAAAACACATTTCAAGAGTACAATTATAATTCAAAGTATCATTTGTCACTTCATGCAAAGAGAAAGTCTTTCTGTGCATCATATGAAATTATCATCAACTCTCTGTTAACATATGTAGCTCAGAAACAGAGGAGACAGTATTCATAGACTTAAGTTTTTCTGCTGTCAATGCATCTATTGTATATATTTTCAACAGTATCAACTCTCCAATGCACAGATGGAAGGTCTGATGTACACTGTGATAGTGATCGATATTACTGCAGCCATTTTGCTTGAGTGTGACAGACTGAAGTGACGCTGAACAGAATTGAATCCAAAAATATGCTTCTGTCCATTTACTGGATATCTATTATGATATCTAGGTATACTATGTCAAGTGATATATATTTATGAATGCTGCTCTATAATCATACAATGTAACAGATACAACAATTATGATACATACTACAATGAGACATACCACACATTGTTAATTGTTATTTTTCATTTTTAAATTAGTAAATCATTGATGAATTATCACACAAGCAAATTATCAAACCATCCATATTTATGATTTTATTATTATATAACATTTGGTAAATGTGTTGTTTGGTGGCAAAAGCAGTGTAGAGGAGAATATGCTTACCTGCAGATAAAGTGACTCCCGTGCTCGGTAAACTGGTAATACATGCTGTTTTTGTGCACATTGTGACTGAAAAGGTATATAGTTGGTATGGTTTGAGTCCTTCCACTAGAAACACTGGTTCGGATGATGGAGTTGCGTTGAATATAACCTGAAATGAATTTTAACAAATAGATAGAAACGTATATTGTACACTGATATGGAGAGCTAAGACATACATGTAAATTATTTTAACCAATGTTTCATAAAAGACTGTGATGGAACATTTGGCTTATTTTAATTTACCTAAAATTATAAGTTGAATAAAACAAAAAGGCACTGTGACTCCTTTCAGGTCATACTGCTGGTATTAGACAATATAAAGTATATGCCACAGCAGCAATATTCAATGAGTCAATCACGATCTACCGTCTCGCCATTGAGACTGTGTGCTATAGCTGTTTTCATCCTCCGTGCAGTTTACGCACGTATGCAAATGGCACTGCGTGTTTTGACAGCGCTTTCTTAAAAGAAATAACAGAAAGCGTCCACGTCAAAGTAGATGGAAGTAAACTAGGTGTGAGTGTTTCTGACAAATAATATGAGCACCAAAACGTTATGAGTGATGTTTACATAATAATGAGCCACACTACACAAGCACATACTGTACATTTTGAAGCAGATTTACTTTTTATCATCTACAAAAACTGATCATTAAAGTATGTATTTGATGTAAATCCCAGCTTAATGGTTGGTGCAAAAGTAGATCTTGGTTTGATAAAGCGTGGGCACCTCTGAGCTACGGCATTTACCCACCAAGCAGGGGTTTCACTAATAATCTTTAGATCACTAAAGATCTAAATATGGATCATTATCACAGAACAAAGTGGAGAATCCCATGTATCTTCCTCCTCAATGGGAAGTATTCAACTCTACTTATTCAACATAAAACCCCTGTAATACTAATATGTACATTTAGCCCTTCATACACATACTGTATGCATAGCACACCTGGTTAATGACAGGAGGAGCATAGGGGCTGTTGGACTCGGTGACCAAATTAACAAGATATTCCGTGACGATTCCTCTGGCAATGACCCCATGACCTTCAGTGGAGTTCCAACTAACTTTGAGAGATTTGGCTGAGAGTGCAGTCACTTGAGGAGGAGCAATGAATTCTGGCACTGGAAAGATGAGAATTAGAAACAGTCATAAATTAAGCAAATGTTATTACAGTAAAATGAATTACAAAATGTATGTAACTGGATTTGCATTCTCACAATGCAGAGGCACAATACATAATAAACACCCATATTTTGATAGTGTGTCTGTAAAATATTCTCTAAATGAAATGTAATTCATAGCATTCACGCTGACATCCCCATTTTCCTCAGCAGACTGTGCAGAGGGCACACAAACCATGACACCCAGTAACTGCGTAAAAATGCTGTTATCATATGCTTGTTATCCAGACATACAGCTTAAAGTGATGTTAGAGGCAATCATTTAGTCCTAATGAGCCATATCATCGCTTTGAAATTCAAATACTTTAATGAGATCCCCTCCCCCCATACAAGTCTGATTTCCTTCCATGTTTATCGTCTGTATGATTTTTCTTTTGTTAATAATATTGGCTGAATTTAATTTATATTTTAGAAATGTGATTCTGAAAGGGTTGACAATATTAATAGACTGAAAAAGTACCAACCTCCTTCCATTGTACGAGCCAAGGTCCACTGTGATGTGACACTGCCAGCCACATTGGAGCTCACAACTCTCATTTTATATGTGGAAAAGGCCTGCAGGCCAGTTATCAGTGTGTTCCTCTCAGGAGGTTGAATAGTGCTCCTGTTGGTCTCTATTAAGTAGGACATGCTCGGATCCCACCAACCAGAGCTTGTGAACACCAGCTTTTCATCTGGTGGACTTGATAGGTCATGAGTTTCAAAGGGTCCCAGCAAAAACACTTCATATTTTGTAATAACTCCTGCAGACAAAAAACATGGCTGAACATTTTTGAGAAATATATGTATATGTGTATATGTGTGCATGGGTGTACACAAACGGCACTTTTATTCATACATGTATAGTACATGAAGGGTAGAAGTATTTAAATGTATTTGGACAAGGAAATGGCAACAGCCTTCAATTTCAATTATCAAATGTGCTTACATTTAGAAAGACTGAATGCAAGTGAATATATTACATAAGTAGGATGTCTTATTATTAAATTGGCCTCACAAAGTTTGGCCCATCCTTGTGTACAGAAAAGCACAGGAGATTATTGCTGCTTTGCCTCTTTCTGAGAGTTTGCGTTATGATGCAGTCAAGATTACCATTTTACGGGCCTATGAATTAGCATGTGAGGTGTATAGACAGAAATTCAGAAATTATAAAAAAACAACATGGGCACGTGGTTGTTTATTTTAATAAACAAACGGTTAAAACTATTTCTGAGGCCTCTGTATTAGCAGATGACTTTGTGCTGACTCACAGAACTTTTCTCTGCATTTTCAGGGGATGAATCATGTGGACCTGTGTCCGTTAAGTCTGATCACCCTTGGCCTCATCCTTGGACCGAGCCTGCTTCTAATATCGTTCGCCTGGACGCTACAAACTTCCCTGCTCTCAAACGAAAGAAAGAGTCTTCTCCTCTAAATATTTAAAGTATTGGGTGAATTCTATCTGCAACTTGTAATTTAGGACCGAATGCTGACCAAAATGGTGGCTCCTGTTTTGAGCCATTCCTATCTCAGGGCACAGAATCTTTGACAGGCAAAGCATCTGATCAACGCCACATTCATAATCTACGAGACACAGACAGGTCGCAAAGTCCCATCCAAAATGTTCTCCTTAGCGGTTGTTTCTGCTTTACCAACTAAACTAATGTGAACATGTTTTGTGTGGCATGGTATTTCCTCCCCTGGATGAGGTTCTGTGGACAGAATAACTGTATTGAGATTCCTACAGTTTGCGCACGCTAGAGCCATGCTTTAAGTGTATCAGTCACAAACATCATGGTCAAGGCCAAGGAACACAACAGTGCGGTCAGGGAAGTTTAAAGCAGCGTTAAGTTATACCAAGATTTCCCAATATTTGAACATCTCACAAAGCACTGTTTAATCTATCAATCATTTAGAAATGGAAAGAGTATGGCACCACTGTGTACTTATAAAGACAAGGCCATCCACCTGAACAGATCGAACAAGACAAAACATATTCATGTGTTAGAAAGGCCCAGTCAAAGTCCAGACCTAAATTCAAAAGAAAATCTGTGGAAAGACAATTGTGAAAATTGCTCTCTAATTTGACAGACGTCAAGTTGTTTTGTAAAGAGGATTGGGCTAACCTTTATGGCTCTAGATGTGCAAGTCTTGTAGAGTCATACCCCAAAAGACTTTCTGCTGTTATTACAGCACAAGGGGGTTCCATAAAGTATTAATTCATGCTGAATACTTGTGCCTGTCTAACTTTTCGGTTTTCTATTTAAAAAAATAAATAAAATAGAATCATCTATCATTTTGCTTTCACTTCTCAGTTGTTAGTTACTTGTGGGTGAACTTTTAGTAATTCCAAATACAGCCTTTATGTTTATGGTTGTAAACATGACAAAATGTGCAAACGTTCAAGCTGTATTCATACTTTTGCAAGGTACTGTACAGTATATTTTACATACCATTAGGATGGACCGGGGGATCCCATGAAACATTAATTGTATGAGAGCCAATCGAAGTCATATTGAGTGTAGGTTGGTTCTTTGGAAGAGCTGAAGCTGTCAGCAGTGACAGTGGTTTAGAATCAGTACACCTCCCAGAAGTACACGCCTGTACAGTAACGGTGACAATAAAGCATAGACTCACACAATTTTCGAGTGCAAAATGAGAAAAATGTACAACAGCGGCTTTACCTCCAAATAAGCAGAATATTGTGTAAACGGCTTAAGACCGGTTGCCACTGCCTCTGTTGAAAGCCCTGTGTACTGTAAAACAGGTTCACTGGCAATAGGATCTATAGTAAATAACAAAAACCTGGAGGAAAAAAGATTATAAGATTACACTTAAGTATTTCAAATTTCATTAAAAAAAATAAAACAAAAATAGTTCAATGTACACATTGAAAAACATGTTGACACAAAAAGTGTACTGCAACGTCTACTCTTATCTTATTGTAATGTGAAATGTGAGGTATTATTCTTCTCCAAGCCAAAAATGCACACAGCCACAGAATCTTGAAGAAGCTGCAGTCCCTGGATTGGCAGCTTCTTCTAAAATACTTGTAGGCCCACACCAGATATTTAATTCATGTGTGAGTTCAGAGGAACAAAGGTGGGCTACTAATTTGTTCTTTTTCTCTTTAGGTACAATTTCGTTCTCTCCTCCAGTAAATTCTGACATGGAGCTTTCGCGAAAGTTCACCGTGGTAGACCCGGCTGCTGCTGCCCAGGCCACAGGCTGCTCTTCCTCGACTCATCAATACCAGCAACGCCCACATCCAGCCAACCAATAACCACCAGGACAGCAAGTTAAAAGCCGGAGACGCCCACTTCCCGGTCTTCTGAAGTTTGCAAACTTCTGAAGCCTGCAAGGTGCATGTCGCTAACGCACCTGTTCGCAAATGCATGCGTTGTTCTGGAGGGGTCGCTTCTGCTCACGTGTTGCTCGTGCGCGTGGCCCTGCTGTCCTCAGTCTGGCTGCTCGTGGTCTGCTCCTCTTCCACGTCCCTGCACCTGCTGTGGTTTGCATATCCCCACTGCTCTCCTCCTCTGCGGGCTCTTCTGCGGGCTGCTCCGCGGGGCCCCTCCGCGGTTCTGTGCTGCTCGTTCCTCGTGGTCTGCTGCCGCGCGCAGACGGTCTGGCGGTGCCGTGCGTGTCCCTGCCTCCGATTGGCGGTGCCGCGTTGTCCCGTTGCTTTTCCCAAGTCTCCTGGCATGTGAGTACAGTGAGTGTGCCGACCGCGGACAGATTAATCCCGGAGTCTAGGCTGCAGGCGGCTGGTTTTTGCCCTACGCACTTGACTGCAGGCGTCAGTTTTCGCCCCGTGCTTGGTCTGCAGGCTCCGTTTTCACATGTGTTTGAGCTAACTGAGGGACAATGCATCTTAAATGGCATCAATCTCCAATATCTGAGGGATATAAGAGGAGCAATGTGCATTAATTCAGATTCATGTTCTGCCACTTGCAGTAAAACCACGTTGGAAAAAATGTGCAAAGACTACCCCATCGTGCTCCAGACGGCACACACAGAGCTCTTGCCACGGCGCCATCTTTACAGCATCAATCTCATTACTCGCAAGTCACTATTGTTAAATGAATGTATTTAAATTCGTCTATCTGCAGGAGGAAGGAGGGGCCATGCATTTAAATAGCTAGGTCACTAGTATTAAATTGGGTAACTAAACTGCAGTTGTTGCATTTCGAAAGTGCAGCAGAAAGAAAAGGGGCCCAATGTGAATTGCAATGGGTTTGAAGTGGAGTTGGAGCTAATGAACGCATGGAAAAGTGATCGTTCATGCGTTCTACCATAACCAAAGCAGAAGATGGCTCCAGGGGACATCTGTTTCTCGCATGGGAATGTTTCGGATTCGGGTTGATTTATTTCCTCAGGCTCTTAAACAACCGTGGGCATGGTTCTCTGACCGCCGCTGCTGCGGTCCCTGCTGCCGTTCCTACTGATGCCTGATCCCGCTGCTGCCTGATCCCGCTGCTGCCTGTTCCTGCTGCCGCTCCTGCTGCTGCCTGTCCCTGCTGCCTGCTCCTGCTGCTCCTACTACAACATGTGCCGCTGTTGCTGTTCCTGCCGCTGCCGCTCCGCAGGCTCCCAGGCTGCACCTGTCTCTACGGCTCGGCTCTTTCAGACACGTACGTAACCTGGCTCACGGAGACAAGCGGCGCACGCTGGCGTGACACGTCTGTTGTTCGTATGAATCGCATTGTGCTGCTGCTGCTGCTGCTAATGCTGCCGCTGCTGCTTCATACTGCTACCGCTGCCGTGCTGCTGCTGCTTCTTTACTTTGACACCTCTCTTCACTGCGCATCTCTTTTACTGAAACACTAAACAGCTTCAACTATATTCTACTGCGGTGGCTTTGATACAGGATTATTGCTGTTATTAACTACGGATGCTGCAACCGCTGCTGCTTCATACTGCTACTGCTGCTACTGCTGCTGCTTCCTACTGCTACTGCTGCTCCTGCTAATGCTGCTTCTGCTGCTTCATACTGCTACCGTTACTGCTGCTGCTACTGCTGCCGCTGCTGCTTCATGTACTTTGACATCTCTCTTCACTTCGCATCTCTTTACTGAAACACTAAACAGCTACAACAATATTCTACTGCTCTGGCTTTGATACAGGATTATTGCTGCTATTATCGACGGATGCTGCAGCTGCTGCTGCTTCATACTGCTTCTGCTGCTGCTGCTTCATACTGCTACTGCAACTGCTGCTGCTTCATACGGCTACTGCTGCTACTACTGCTGCTGCTGCTGCTTCATTTACTTTGCCATCTCTCTTCACTTGCATCTCTTTTACTGAAACCCTGAACAGCTACAACAACATTCTACTGCTGTGGCTTTGATACAGAATTATTACTGTTATTTTCTAAGGACGCTGCTGCTGCTGCTACTGCGGCTGCCGCGGCTTGATACAGGACTATTGCTGTTATTATTTGAGGTTACTGCTGCTGCCGCTGCTGCTGCTGCCACTGCAACCCACTCTCTCAGAAGCTTATCCTGCTTCTAATGGATGCAGCCCGGCTGAGTATGCCGCGCTGCGCCGGACTCGCACCTATGCTCCCAGGGTCGCTTCGGCGGTCGTGCTTCATCTCTCTACTGAATCTTCTGATTCTATCAGATGCAGCTGGCCGAGTAGCTGCGCTGAGCCGTCAATCGGACTCCTAATCAAAGGCATCCATACCTGTATTCTTCACTCTTCTGATCGCAGGCTCCCCATCATGCTGCCCATCCTGCAGCGGCGCTGAACTCCGGCTCATCTCCCAAGTACATGTCCGCCCTCCTCGCAGCATCTTCCTGCTCTCCTTCGATGGCTTCTCTGCGTAAGCGTTTCACCATTGCTCACTCAACCTTCATGCGGTCCGAGACACGGCTTTCCCGACCATCCTACTATCCTGATTTCTACTCTCCAACCCAAGGTTTCAAGCGTAAGGGCGCCTGCAACATCAATGGCCCTCTCCGACATGTCTCTGCCCTACAGGTCTCCGCTTCTACACGGACGCTGCCCCTTCCGTGGGTTTTTGGGGGATTCTTCCAGGACCATTGGTTTGCCGAGCGTGGCCGCTACTTTCCACCGGAGCATCTCCTCTGCCTACACGTGATATTCCCAGTGGTCGTGGCCTGCGCGCTGTGGAATCACACGTGGCAGAGAAAGAGGATCTCTGTCACGTGTGATAATCTCGACGTAGTGGAAGCATTACACAAAGGTCGCTCTTTTTCACCCAACATAATGTCCCCTGACCACTTCAACCTTCATCTCAAACATTCAAAAATCAAAGGTGCCTGCAATATAATAATAGCTCGCTCCGACACATCTCTCTGCCCCTACAAGTCCATGATGCGTTAGAATCTCCTTTCTTGCAGCGGAGGCGAGTGTAACGGACCTCTATTTCTCACTCCAGACCACCTTCCCATGACAGCAAACTGGTTCAGAGCTCAGCTGAGATCCCTACTGCTCCTCTGTAATTTGTCTCCCCAGCTCTATACGGCCCACTCATTCAGGATAGGCGCTGCAACGCGCGCGGCCTCGCTGGGGCTCCCCCACTCTTCGCTGCAACAGCTGGGGCGCTGGTCCTCTTCGGCCTTCTCCGCTTACATCAGGCCAGATGCGACCGCTATCATGGCAGCACAACGTCAACTGGCTTCCTCGTAAGCTCCCAGCAAAGCAAGTAAGCAATAAAATTCTGGTGGCGGCACGCACTTTCCTCTTACACTCAAAAGATTCCCCTGCTGCAGCGTCTGGCTGAACATGCGCGTTCTCAGCTCGCTCAAAGATTCCCCTGCTCAGCGTCTGGCTGAACATGCGCATGCGCGCATGTTCTCAGCTCGCTCAAAGATTCCCCTGCTCAGCGTCTGGCTGAACATGCGCGTTCTCAGCTCGCTCAAAGATTCCCCTGCTCAGCGTCTGGCTGAACATGCGCGTGCGCGCATGTTCTCAGCTCGCTCAAAGATTCCCCGCTCAGCATCTGGCTGAACATGCGCGTGCGCGCATGTTCTCAGCTCGCTCAAAGATTACCCTGCTCAGCGTCTGGCTGAACATGCGCGTGCGCGCATGTTCTCAGCTCGCTCAAAGATTACCCTGCTCAGCGTCTGGCTGAATATGAGTTGCTTCTCATATTCTCAGCTCGCTCAAAGATTCCCTTGCTGCAGCGTCTGGCTGAACATGCGCATGTTCTCAGCTCGCTCAAAGATTACCCTGCTGCAGCGTCTGGCTGAACATGCGCGTGCGCGCATGTTCTCAGCTCGCTCAAAGATTCCGCTGCTTCAGCGCCTGGCTGAATATGTGCACGCTCTTATTCTCAGCTCGCTCGGCCCAAACAAACACGGGCCCCAGCCGACGCAGCCTGGCTGAGCGACCGCGCGAGAAGCCTCTCACTCATGCTCTCAGGCCCGCGCAATACGTCCTGCTATCCCAATCCCAGGCCCGCTTTTTGGGGATATGTACGCGAGCAAGCGCAGTGCTCAACAGCATCCCTCCCGGGCCTAGGGCGCCAAACATGCTCAATCAATAAACATGCTTAAATCTTAAGTCTAACGCATTTTCCTCATGGGTCTCTCCAAGGTGAATTATCAACAGGTATAGATAGTGGACAAGTGGGAGGGATAAAAGCGGAACCCTGCTGAACACGGCACTTTAGGCAAATAATAACATAACATAAAGTAAGTAGTAAGTATTGTTTTTTTATATAGCCCATTTTACGGACCGAGATCACCCAAAGCGCTTTACGATGTTCAGAGTTCAGATATTGTTCCAATCATTCCACACACAGTGATGTAGGAAGCGAGAAGCCGAACACACTG